CTAAATTGTTGCAGCAGCTAATCTCTTCTTTCAGTGTATCAGCCTGAAATAGAATTTAGTAGTGCAACAATAAAATTATTAAACAATAAGAACTTTATTTTACACTGTACACATGTGAGAACACAATCAATATAAACTAGAAATTATAAATGCTTATAACGATCGAAGTTGGATCTTTAATGCTTAAATAATTCAGTGTGAATTATATATATATATATATATAATTCAGTGTGAATTATATATATATATATATATATATATATATATATATATAATTCACATAAAATGATTTAAGCATTAAAGATTCAGTTTCGATCGTTATAGGTAAAACAATTATTAGTTATTCATGGAAACTATAATACACTTATCGTCGGTTTTACGTCCACAGATTTTATTATGTACACAAGAGTATTACACACATATTCAGGAATCACTGTCCCTAGTGAATTTGTTGCAAAGAGATATAAAGAATGCGAGGTGTGTACACGATTACGATGCTCATATGCATCTTTATCGAAGATACAAGAATATCTTCTATCACTTCTATTGAATAACGTATTTAAAGATCCGATAGAAGATATTTACAGAAAAATATATAAAATATTGTATATGAAAAAGATAAACTGTTGAAACTCTGAGTTAATTTAATCGATATTATTATTATACATTCTATGAAGTTGAAGAGTCAGTGTTAACAAAAAAAGAATTTTCGATAATCGGTAGGTATAAAGTACCTTTATCGATTTGTGAGATCGATTGCATGTGATGGAAATTCAGAGAGTTTATGATACTTTCATATTTCATTAGTGACATTAGAAGAAACATAGAGAAGATACACATATATTATACAAAATGATAAAACATCAAGTATTGGCAAGTATTATCAGAAGACTGAAACGATAGTGAAGACATATCGGGACCAATGTCTCTCAAAAAAATCCTCGCAGGCAGAATTTTCTACCGGAGAAGATGACAGAAATAGAAAAGACACAGAGGAAAAGATCATCGGGTTTCAAGAATCTGTCACGTTAACGGCAAGAGACGATCATGCAAAATTAAGTAATGACTCGACGTGAAAGTCGGAAGAGAGGATAGAAAAAGGTACAGCAGTGGTACAGGATTTAGTTCAGAATTCTCTTACCGCGGCCGTCATTTCGAAGGCCGTTCTGATATCCTTTGGTCGTCGTGGAAAACGATATCACCGTGTTCTTATACTTGAACGGATTAACTTTTGGACCGTAAGTAACCTTTGGAGTGGTACTGACGGTGTAATACGAGTTGAAAAAATTGCTTCTTCTGGTGGTAGTGCTGAAGCCGCCACCAGTACCGCTATTACTATTGTTACTATTATTATTATTGTATCTAGTCTTGTATTGATCGGTATATAAGTTATTGATAATTGTCCGCGTATATTTTGACACTGTCGTTGCGAACAGATTTGTGACGTGTTTGTAGGGATAAGTCGACGTCCTTATCGTCGCCGTCGTCGTCGGTGTCGACGGGGTTATGCTCGATAATGGTATGCTCTGTGTTGCTTCCCATGGATACCTGTGTGGCATATTATCATGACGTTACTATATATGGTGTTGCATTTGTATATCTCTGCACTATATTCTGCTAAATGACAGCGTCTATTAATTGAAGTTAATTAACAGTCAGTAAATACGTTGATTCACACTTCATTCTTAAATTGAAGTAACAATATGCTAAAATTCATGAGCGGGTTACCTAGAAATACTCTTGTCGATGCTCAATAAATGTCGCTGATGTATATAACTTCAATTCTTAACTCCGAAATTAAAAAAAATGTTTCAATACATTTGAGAGATTCAAAGATTATTTATATCTTCATATTATTATGTAGATGTTTTGTACTTCTTTTAACGAAGATTAATCGATCAAAACGCATAAATTTTCTTCATCGTTTTTCATGGTATTCAAGAATTAAAATTAGTTACGCGCGGAGTTTTGTTGCGTGCGTTACGAAACAAAGAGTCGAGAACGCTCGAGTTCTCGGATCATTACCTGTAATCTGTGTTGTTGTAATGAGCGAATATCGGCCGGGTGTGTATTGCAGAATTGAATATGCTATCCCGGCGTACATACGTCGGAATGTTCTGCGTATAATCCGGTATTATGTTCTCGTGCTCCGCGACGCACTTCCCGTTCAGGCAGTACTGGAAATCAACGTCAACGATCAAGGAATTAAACAACTGTGCAAAGACACTTCGAGAAGATATATGTCAAATATTGTTATCTCGGCGCTGTTATGTAAAATTATATGATATCATAGTATCGCGTTGTCGGCACTAGCCAGGATTTATGAGATCACTTCTGATGTAATTGCGCGTTACAATTGCGACAGACGCGTCGCGGAAGCTATATCGTAGTCCATAGCTCACAGTGTCATGCAAATGCATTATGCATTATACATTAGTTATATAGCCGAGAGAGATATTTCTTTTACAAACAGAAATAAGGCAATTGTTATTGTAAAGCGGCGCTGAAATTTATTTCCAACTTTCGGCCAACTTTCAACTTGGTTCCCGTCTCTTATCTCACCAGTAACCCTCGCGTAGTCTAAATGTCGATCGGCCAAAAATTGGCCGAAAGTTGCAAGTAATTTCTAGCACTGTTGTAAAGCATGTAAGCTCCCGTTTTACCTGACCATCTCCGCACGGCGATCCTTCCGCTGCTGGGCGATACGCGACGCAGTATCCGGATCCGGCGTCGAAGCAGAATAGCTGAGCGCAAACTCGATCGTCTTTCTAAATATACGAAATATAAATAGTTAAAAATAGACGTAAAGATAAATGAATGAGATAAATATAATCAAGTGAGAATCATGTGGTACATGTTACGTTTTACATAAGAATAATCTTAGATCCAACTCCATCACAGTTTAATATTCTATATAAAGCTTTATTAAAAGTAAAAAAGGCTTCAGAAATTATCGAACTTAATTACGCCCATTTTTTTTTTTCGTATTACAAAGACTGATACGTACGAAACAAGCGCTTGTTCCACGATCTTTCCGACATTGCGCATCTAAGGATAGGAGTTTGCCCGGAAGAACTCTTGGCAGCGCCTCGTCTTCGTGAGGCGCATTGTACAAGCAGGTCGCTGTATCACCACTGCAAATAGAAAAAGGTAGCGTTAGATTTAGTAACTTCCATTTACTTTTAATTTTAAGAAGAGCGTATTTCACGTTGATAACCCGATTGTTTATTTATACATAGTAAATTGCATTCTAAAAGATAGAGAACTGTAGACGCGCTGCGTATCACGTCAAAATCAAAAGAGAGAAAAAGATTGTAAAAATAACAAATTCTTTCGTGCATTTTCCAATA